ACAAATATCTATTATTTGAAAAGAAAATAAAAAGAGTACTTTTTGTATTAATTTCTTGGTATCTGGTAATTACATTAGATTTTAACTAATTTGAAATCGAATCGCGTTAAACCTCATAAAAAAAAAATTCTTCTACTAGTTATTTTTCTATTCGCAAAACTCAAAGTTGAAACTTTATTTAAGGAATATTGAATTCTACAACTACGAATCAACATCCTAAGATACGGTCATGGCCCATGGATGGGAAAAAGACTTTTTGCTGAAATTCCATCAAAGATTCTGTGTAGAAATTATGTGATTAGTAATTCTTTCAGTCTAATTTTCGCTTTCATTCTTGATCACTCAAGTCCTAGTGGTTAATGTCATGACTGGAAGTCTTTATTTCTTTTACTATTTAGTATTACCTCCACCTCAAATTAACTGTTTGTAAAATTTTTATAGATCATTGTAAGTAATATTTTTATGTAATATATGACTTGTAATTACTTTTTTTTTTTTACTTTGTACTTAATGTTTTGGAATAATTTTGTTTTAAAAAAGAATTTCATTCACTATTGGTATATCATGCAAAAAAGATTATTTAAAATTACAGACAAAAAGTTTATAAGACTGTTAAATTGAGATGGAGTGGAAGCAACTATTTCCATTTGGGCAAAAAATAAAAAAATAAAAGTAGCACTCTTTTGTTGCAAGTATGGGTGCATATTTTGGGATGTAGGTGGATATGAATTATATTAGTTATTTTACTTTAAAATGTTTAGATATGAATTTTTAAGCTTGGTACTTATTTAAATATTTAATATTTATACTTGATATTTAATTCAATAAGTATTAGGTAACTTGCATATATATATATATATAGGAAAAAGTTCCTCTCAGCCTTACCTCCTAAAGATTAGGAGGAAAATTATCATAAAACTAGTCATTTCAATAACTTTTTATTGAAAAAGACTAAACTACCATATTTTTAAAGCATGCATTAAGGTGATTTTTGTCATTTTTCCTCTTAATTTTTGGGAGGTAAGACGGACAAGTACTAACCCCATATATATATATATATATATATATTTACATTCTTGATTTAGGGAAAAAAGAGGTAAAGTAGAGGTCTTGTGAGTTGTCGTTGTTATGTGTATCATGTATTTAACTTAGAATTTATTATTTCTACGGGTTGTTATTATCAATTGTATAATTTATTTTGCTTACAAGTCTTTCTTTAATTTTCTCTATTTCTTTGTATTTAATTTTTCTTTTATTTTTAAAAATTATTGTTATTATATAAATATTATATATAATAAACATATATAATTTAAATTATA